TTCTTGAAATCCTTTGTGATCATAGCTATTTCATCCTCCTCTAGATCAGCACCTTCAGTGATCCTGAGAGCTAGGCTCATTTCCTTCTTGGGTGCATCCATCTTCATGGTTTGCCTTCTAAATTCATAGGCAGTGAGATTTCAAATTAGCTCGTCCAACTTGAGAGTGGCAATGTTCTTTGATTCTTGAATAACAGTGGTCTTGCTTTCCCAAGTGACTGGCAAGATCCTTGTCAGAATTTTCTCAACTTTGTCTTCTTCGAGAATAATCCTTCCAAGAGACTTAAGTTCATTTGTTAGTATTGTGAACCTTGTATACATCTCTTGGATGGTTTCTCCTTCCTTCATGGTGAAATTTTCATATTGAGAATACAATAGTGTTTCTCTTGATCTTTTCACTTGAGGAGTTCCTTCATGAGCCACTTGCAAAGTGTCCCAGATCTCCTTAGCAGTGGTACAACTTTGAATCTCTACTGTACTCATCTGGACCAAGTCCACACACAAGCCATTTCTTGGTCTTAGCATTCTTTTCCCACTTCCTCAAGTCCTCAGCATTGCAGTCAGCTCTTGTTTTCGGCACATCTACTCCTTCAGCATTCTTCTTCAAGGTGGCCAGGGGACCATCAGTAACAATGTCTCATATCTCATAGTAATCTCCAATGATGTGATCTCTCATCCTGTTTTTCCAGCAAGAGTAGTACTGGACATTAAAGAGTGGAGGCCTAACAGTAGATTGTCCTTCCTAGGTTTGAGGTGGTGCTCTCATCTTGATATATTCCTAAGGTGTTAGCCTCTTCAAGGATAACCCACTCTGATACCAATTGATGTTTTATACTTCAATACCACACAAGAGGAGGTGATTTGTATGGTGACCAATTTTTCGATTAAACTTATTATGGAAGGACATGGTTCTTCTAAGTGCTCTTTAACTTACTATTGCAGAAATAGTAAATGCGGAAAGTAAAGAACACAATTACTTTACGTGGAAAACACCTGGATCAAAAAGTAAAAAAACCACGACCTACTTACTAGTAGGATTTTCCCAAACTCTCCACTAAAATCACTAAGCCAAAAACTGCATTTATAAAAACTCTTTTGTAAACCTAGGACTAACTCTAATCTCATTGTAGCAAACACCCTTTAACTGTTGCGACAGCTTCAAGTTAACTCTAACTTGAAAACTCTGAGTATCTATTACAATTGCCTCTAGATAATGCTGAAAGGTACAATATAAAACCACTTACTACAATTGAACTAGAATAAAAGACAGTCACTTGGAACTAGTTCTTCTATCTGGTTCAAGTAGCTTCAGGTTTGCACACTTGAATCACACACGAAATGCTTGCAAAATTGACTTGCTATTTTGCTCTCAATTCACGTTTAACTTCTTCTTATGTGCGTTACCTGTAAAATAGAACAACACTGATATTTATAAGTTAGTAAATAAAGATTGACTAGAATTCTGATGCTATTCTTCCTTGGTGGAAGAGTTCGAGTTGATCTCAACCTCTAACTCCTTCCCTTTCTTAACCCATGTTCTCTTTGAGTAAGGAGTCCTTCTCCTTATCCAATATGCAACCTTTTCGATCAGGATCAGAAGATATTGCTTTTGGCAAGTTAGGTTTATCTACTTCACGTGCATCTCACATGCTTAAGTCTATCTATAACTGTGCTCCACTAGGATGGACCTGGTTCATGTCTGAGTTCCTTTGTCAGTCTTCAAAACTAACCTTTCCTTGGGCCAACACGCCTAACATCCACTTGCTAGGAAAGCCGACGTGAAATAAGTAATTAACCAATTTTAACAGTAAAAAATAGAAAAATGATATTCAATGAGAAATAAATGCCAAATCGAACACGGTACAAATATAAACTACTTCCTCCGGTCCACAATAAGTGACCAATTTGCTTTTTTATATTGGTCCAAAATAAGTATCAATTTATATAATCAAGAAAAAAATTCAATTTGTTTTTCAAAACTTACCCTTATATACGTATCCTTAAAAAGTTATTTATTCCTCACATTTGAGAAGAGAAGTAAATGCTACTATAACTATGGTGCAACATTTAATGAAGGTAGTTTAGTCACACTAACTATTTTCATCTTGAATTTAGTGTTTCCTTAATAGGTGTGCACAAAGCAAATTGGTCACTTATTGTGGACCGGAGAAAGTATGTGATACTAACTACTCCTAAAAATCTGGAGTCACGAGTGCACGAGCAACTAGAAGTTTACAAACATAATCTGAAATAAATACAACTATTCGAAAGAGACAAATAGTAAAAGTAGGAAATGGAATGAGACTTCAAGGTCTGCGAACGCCAGCAGATCTACCTCGAGTCTTCGTATGAAAGTAATCTGAGTCGATGCACCTCTAAGCACCATTGGGACCGATACCCATATCTATACAAGAAGTGCAGAAGTGTAGTATGAGTATAATCGTCCCAATGTACTCCGAAAGTGTTGAGTCTAACCTCGACTAGGTAGTGACGAGGCTATAACAAGACACCTACGTAAAAGCCTTGTAAAAGTATATATAATGAAGCAAAATAACAAGAAGAATGATAGAATATTAACTAGGAGGGACATGCGAAAGGGGAAAATATAATAAAAACGGCAAGTATGAAATCACGAAATAAAATCTTCCGAATTAAGCAACAATATAACCAAGTAAATCACCAAAATCAGAGATCAAATAAAACGGTGATATGAAAACGGTACGGCATCACCCTTCGTGCTTTTTCTCGCGTCCTCACCATATAATGTCATGAATATAATGGCACGGCATCACCCTTCATGCTTTCACTCACCGGCGCAGCATCACCCTTTGTGCTTTTGCTCTTAAATCTCTCAATATATGATAATGAATGCAAATAAGGCACGACAACACCCTTTGTGCTTTTTCTCTCTTCCTCACCAAGCAATAATATAAATTCGAATAATAAAAATAAGGTGGGGAATAATTTCACTTCAAATATGGTTCCATGATATCAAACCTCAACTTTCAAAATATTCAACATCTTTAAAATAAACAGTAAATACGAAACAAATAATTAAAAGAAGTAATAATCAAACCGAAGCTTGGATAACATAATTGTTGAAAAAATATAATACAAAGAAACAATTTTCACCCGCATGCTTTAACCCAAAGACAATATATAGGTACTCGTCACCTCACATATACGTTATCCCCACACATAAAACACGTAGCAAATAGACTAACAAGTCTTAATCCCTCAAGTCGAGGTTAACCACAATACTTAGCTCACTTCGCAACCAAATCAATGCTCAACCGCAACTTTTTATCTAGAATTAGCCTCCAAACCAATCAAATATAATCAAATATAGTTTAAATAATTCAAAATAAGCTCAAAGAATCTTTAACGATTTTGGAAAAGTCAACAAAAGTTGACCCCGGACCCGCTTGGCCAAAATCCGATATTTGGATTAAAACTCAATTATCCACTCACCTAAGAGATCGGTTATATGATTAATCTCGAAATCTGATCTCAATTTGAGGTATAAATTTCAATTTCTCAAAATGCCCAATTTCCACTTAAATCCCTAATTTCTACCATAAAAAAGCATAGGTTAAAGGTTAAAAATCAATGAGTGTTTATGGAAATATAAGAAAACAAGTCAAAATCTACTAACCTATGAAGTTGGGTGAAAAACCTCTTCAAAATCGCCTCTAGGCTTAACTCAAACTTGAAAATGGTGAGAAATAGGAAGAATCCCAATTTGTGGACTGTTTTAATCACTGGCATCAAGTCTTTTTCGTGTTCGGGAAAGACCTGACGCAAGCGCAAAGCAACAACGGCCAAAGGCCTTCGTGTTCGCGAGCCACTCTTCGTGTTCGCGAAGGCTTACTCCCCTTGCCTTCGCGTTCGCGGTTCAATGAATGCGTCCACGAAGAGTAACTGATAGGCTCCCTCCCAGGAACTCATAACCCAACGTGTTCAGCCCAAATTCTCTTTCGCTATAGCGAAGCACATGACACTAGATATCATCAACAGCCAAAACCAGCAATTCTTTCTAAGTTCAAATGGTTTGTAGCCTATTCGAAACTCACCCAAGCCCCGCAGGCTCCAAACCAAACATGAACACATACGAACTCGCTCACTCGATCAAAATACCAAAATAACACCTAGATCTACGAATCAGGCATCAAAATGCATGAAAGTTTCAAAGTTCCGGAACCAAAATCCAAACTCGGTAGCCATAAAGTCAACTTATGGCCAAACCTCGAAAATCTTTAAACCTTCATATTACTAGTTTTTAACAAATCACGTCAAATCATGTTAGTGATTTATGAATTAAATTTCGGGCATACGCCCAAGGCCAAATCACGATATGAACCAGGATCGTCAAAATTTCAATTCAGGATCGTTTACACAAAATATTGACCATAGTCAACTCAAGTCATTTTTAAAGCTAAAATTTATGTTTTCTTTAATTTTTTTTACATAAAATCTTTCCAGAAAAGATACGGACTGCTCATGCAAATCGAGAAACATTAAATGGAGCTAATCTAGGTTTTGAAAGACGAAAATAAGGGCTAGAACTCAAAATGACATATCGAGTCATCACAACACACAACCTTATCCGATGCACAATGGTAGAATCACATGCTAATAATACTTGAATACATAGTTTGTATTTTGTACAGCTATTAATAGTTTGCCAATACACACCTTTTTTAAAATTAAGTGGAAAAAAAAAACATTACATGTACGACCTGGCATATATGTCACACCTACTATAGTATTATGGTGATAAATTTTGAACTTTACATGTACCACCTGACATATGTCACAGTAGACTAGTACTATCTAACTTTTTCTTTTCTTTTTTTTTTTCTTTTGTTGAAAGTTTTACTCTTTTCTTCCATTTTACGTGTCTAATTTGAATGTACTTGAAATTTTAAAAAATAAATGAGAGTGTTTGGATTTTCCGTTCTTAAACTAAATATATGTATAATATATCAAGAGGATCACTTCAAGAACCTATATGAATGGCTTTTCTCTCTGAAGGCGCACGTTAAGCAGGATTGCTAACGTACGCCAACAACCATGAACGGCCATCAATGACGACATTCGATGATGAAAAGCTCAACAAACCAAATTGAAGAGTCAGTTAGTAGATTGGTTACACCAAAATCGGGAATTGAGCAACAACTAGGTCCTCGACAACTTATCAATTGGATGTCGAGGATGGGAAGTACACCGACAATCATGCAAACAGCGGCAATGATTGAATCACTACCATCGGTGACAAGAGCTACCATAATTCCACAAGAAGCCTCTATTCCACCGGAATTAGGAATTACAACAGTAGCGTGTAAATTGACTTACTCAGTAGAGCCAGCTAGATCTATGGCGGAGATAGTCAAAGAAAATCTAATGAAGGACCAAGGCATGCAGCTAAAATTCTATCCACCGGTGATAAAAGATGGAATTAAGCTGGTTCAATTGAATCTAGATGAAATGGAGCAGCAATGTCAACAATGGAAAAATGCCCTAATCGAATATGTAATTGGGGAACGTCCAGCTTTTAAAGAGATGCTCAAGTTTGTATGGAGTATGGAGCTTAGTAAATACGCCAAAGGTACATATCATTGCCCAATAAATTTACATGATGATGATGATTACTTCATCTTTAAATTTGATTCGATAGATGATAAAAATTTGATACTGCAAAATGGTTCTTATACGTTCAACAATAGATCCTTGGTTCTGAAGGAGTGGGATTCGGACTTTAGTATTAAAAATGAATCGATGAGAGTGGTTCCTATATGGGTGATGTTCCCAGGACTACCAATACAGTTTTGGGCTGAGGAAAACTTAGAAAGACTGGCGAGCTATATTGGGAAACCTTTATGTAAAAATAAGCTTACAGCTCATGTTGACAGAATTTCATATGGTAGAGTTATCAAAGAGGTATATATCACTCAAAATCTACCAGATGTTGTTCCTGTAATTGTGGCAGAAGGGAAAATTTGGGAACAAAATGTGGAGTATGAATGGAAGCCTACACTCTACCAGGATTGTAATCATTTTGGACATATGACTGAGAAATGTCAACAAAAACAATCCCAACAGGAACAAAAAGGGAAGAAACAGAACAAGAGGTAGAAGAAGGAGAATGGGAGTGAAAGATGAAGGCAGAAGAAGTGGCACCACCAGCTGCAATAGCTTCTAAAACTAACAAGTTAGATGCAGACTCAGAAGTGGCACCACCAGCTGCAACAAATCCTAAAACAAACAAGCCTGAGGTACTCCCAGATACAAAGTCAGAAGTGGCACCACCAATACAGGTGCAACTATTCAGCAAAGGAAAGCAGGTTGTAGTCAACCATTTCTCTAAGAAGAAAGATAGAAAGCATATTGATGCTCAGGAGATATCTAGAAGAAACTAGTTTGCTCCTTTAACGATCCTTGAGAGAGAAGTAACTGACCAAGATAGAATGGAGGACCAATTGTTAGACAAAGGAACCAAACCAAGCAAACCACCCCCACCATGATTTTTAGCTCTTGGAATATATGGGGGCTGAATAAGCCTCGCAAGCAAAAAGAGTTTAAAATATTTTTGCTTACTAATAAGATAGATATGGTGGATATCTTTGAAACCAAAGTAAGACAGTCAAAAGCTAAAGTGATTCAAAAGAAGTTTGGCACAGGATGGACATTTGTAGATAATTACTCAGAAGTACCTAAAGGGAGAATTTGGATTGGATGGAAGACAATGAATGTGACAATTTCGGTAATTAAAAAATCTAGTCAACTCATCCATTGTCATATTCAAGACAAAACTACAAACTTCTATTGTTATGGGACCTTTATCTATGGATTGCACACTGTCGCTAATAGAAGCCTATGTGGGATCAACTTAGGGACATACATACCAAGACCAATGGGCCATGGATCATACTTGGAGATTTCAATAGCATACAATCTGTTGGGGACAGAATCAATGGAGAACTAGTACATCAACAGGAGTTGGCAGACTTCCAATGTTGTATTGATGATATTGGAGTAGGGAAAATAACCAAAGGGGACGTCAATTCTCTTGGAGTAATAAGAGGGATGCAGAAGACAAAATCTATAGTCACATTGATTGGACATTTGGCAATCCAAATTGGTTCCAGATTTGAGCAGGAATTGAAGTTGTTTATATGCTCCCAGAAGTATCGGATCATTCTCATATACTGTTAAATACAGAGGTGAACAGAACAAAAGTTAGAAGACCTTTTAGACTCCTAAAAGTACTTCTACAACAAGAAGAATATAGAGAAACAGTCAATGTAGTTTGGAGAAAACAAATTCAGGGGATTTCTATGTTTAGAATATGAAAAAGATTGAAGATCCTAGAAGTCCAAACAAAGTACATTCACAAAGAGTACTCTTCCATCGATAAAAAGCTAGAGGTCTTAAGGAAAACGTTAAAGACAATCCAAAAGGCATTAAATGATGACTACTTCAATCCAGTACTTATTGAGGAGGAGAAGCAGACTATTAAGTTGATAAAAAACTGGGATGCAGTTCAGGAAAGGGTACTTATACAAAAATCAAGATCCATTTGAATTGTACAAGGTGACTCAAATTTCAAGTACTTTCATACCTATCTGAAAGCTAGACAAGCAAGGAATAGAGTGTCATCTATTTACAATGAATAGAACAATAGATTGACTGAGCCAGAATAGATTCAGCAAGAATTCATCAATTTTTTCAAGAAATTACTGGGGGAAGTAGATCACACACTTCCTAGAATAGATATTAACATTGCTAGGGATGGTCCTACGTTAACTCTAGTACAACAATAGTCAATGTTGAATCTAGTAACACAAGAAGAAGTTAAGCAGACAGTAATGGAGTTACCAGATGACAAAGCTCCAGGATTGGATGGATATCCGACTGAGTTTTATAAGACCTTCTGGGCAAGCATAGGGAAATAAGTGACAGAAGCTATTCAGCAGTTCTTTGAAACAGGCAGATTACTCAGAGAGGTAAATTGCACCATTGTCACACTGATTCCTTAGGTGGATCATCCAACTTATGTGAAAGAATTTAGGCCAATTTCATGTTGCCAACTCTATACAAGATCATTGTCATGATCATAACAAAGAGATTAAAAGCAGTTGTGGACTACCTTGTAGGACCAACTCAATCTGCATTCATAGAGGGGAGAAATATTTTAGACAATGTCATCCTGGCTCATGAGTTGGTGAAGGGGTACACAAGAAAAACAGTCTCTCCAAGATGCATCAATAAAGGTTATATTAGGAAAGCTTATGACTCAGTTGAATGGAGTTTCCTGAAACAACTACTGATTGAACTAGGGATTCCTCACAAGATGGTGACTCTGATAATGGAGTGTGTAACCATAGTAAGTTACTCCATGTTGATCAATGATGGTATAACAACTAGATCCCCAGCAAAGAAAGGCCTAAGACAAGGGGACCCTATGGTACCATATCTATTTGTACTTGTGATGGAGTACCTAAACAGACCATTGAAGCAACTACAGACTAACCCAGACTTTAACTACCACCCTAAATGCTCTAAACAATACATCACTCACATATGTTTTACTGATGACTTGCTTCTGTTTTGTAGAGCAGATAAGATTTCAATGCAGCTTCTAATGATTACTTTGAGCACTTCTTTTCTGTTTCTGGACTTAAAGCTAATATGGAGAAGAGCTCGTTATACATTTCTGGTGTCACTCCTGAGTTTAGAAATCACATCCTAGATGAACTGCACTTCTCTCTTGGAAGCTTGCCTTTCAAATACCTAGGAGTTCATTTGTCTGCCACTAAATTGACTATTAATCAGTGTATGCCCTTAGTGGTAAAAATGGTGGCTATGGTGAGGCGCTGGTCCTCAAAGTTCCTATCATATACATGTAGACTTCAAATAATAAAGAGTGTACTCTTTGAGATTCAAATCTACTGGGCCCAAATTTTTTGCTTCCAAAAAGAGTTATAAAGTTAGTCACAACAATCTGCAGGAATTTCCTCTGGCATGGATCGAAGGAGAATGTCAACAGAACACTAATTGCTTGAGAAACAGTTTGTCAACCAAGATCAACTGGTGGGCTAAATATTCTCACTTCACTTTATGGAATAAAGCAGTAATACTAAAATTATTATGGGCAATATTGCAGAAAAAAGACACTCTTTGGGTCCAGTGAATACAACACCAATACATAAAGGAGAAAGATCTAAAGGACATGAAAACTCCAAGGCAAGCAAGCTGGATGGTTAGAAAGATCTTTGAAGCTAGACAGTGGGTAGCTCCTAATATGGACAGGATTCAGCAGTATGCAAATTAGAGAAAATTTAGCATCAAGAAAGCTTACATGGACAATCTTCCTTAATATCCCAAATTTACCTGGAAAAGCTTTATTTTAAGTAAGGGTTTGATTCCAAAACATCAATTCACCTTGTGGATGGACCTTCAACAAAAACTGGCTACAGTGGATAGAATTCGAAAATGGAGGATTCAAGTGCAAAGTGAATGTGCTCTTTGCTCAACAAGTTCAGAAGAGATATTCAACCACCTATTCTTTTAATGCCAATATTCCAAGAGCATTTGGCAGAAGCTACTACTATGGACAGGAAAGCAGCAACAAGTGAAGTCATGGAATGAAGAAGTTAATGAACTATCAAGCGTGACAAGGAGTAAGCAGCCCAGATACACTATCAATGCTTTTCTATTTGCAGCTACAGTTTATCACAATTGGATGGAAAGGAATAGTAGAAGATTCATACAAGTACAAAAGCCTCTTATAGAAATACTGAAGGACATAGCCTTGCAATTACACATTGTAGGACAAAGACATCCCAATTGGCCAAATGAATTAGATAGATTGATAGGATATCCAAGCTAAAAGCTACTAGTTTTATGGTTATATAAATGATACACTTCCTAAAAGGTGCGCAGATATAGAACCTAGTACTGATAGCAGATAGATTAGAAAGTTTCTCATAGGCTATTTTTGTAAGGATCCTATATCTATTGTCCAATGAGCAAGTGTGCTTGTAAATATTATACTTGGTTGAAATAAAATTTTCCTTTTGACCAAAAAAAAACTCGAACATATTATTTGAAATATTAAAGTAAATTATTACTAAATATTGAAAGTGATATTAGTTTAGACTACTAAAAGCAAAGGGGAAAGTGCACATATATTCGAATTTGGGGTTACCATTTAAGTCATAGTCACAGTGTACTTTGCAAATTTAGTTACTTCGACCAACTTTAGACATACACAATTAAAAATCACAAAAATTTGCGTCCGAAGTTTGGCGAAGCAAAAATCAAATATTTTTGCTTGAAGTTTGACTTGTCAAGGATAAACATCCAATATTTTTGCCTGAAGTTTAACTTGCCAGTGCAAACTTAAAGTTTAGCTTGTCACAGCTAAACATCCGACATAATTATTTAAAATTAAAATCTGACAATCCCATATTTCTGACTTTCTAGCTAAAGTTTGTAAAAAAAGATTACATGTTCCTATTTCTTCGTCTCCCTAACAGCTTTTTCTTTGCTTCTTCCTTCTTCATTTAAAACTATCTCCCTGTCGGTACTGATGTCACGACCCTAAATCCGGACTCGATCGTGATGGCGCCTCTCGTGAAGACAAGGCCAGTCGACACGCAATTAGATAATAAAAACTAAGTCTTTAACATAATAATAAAAATCTCGAAATAAGATAAATAGTACAGTTTGTGGAATAGACATAGCCCGACATCAGGGTGTCACCAGTCATGAGTATCTATAATAAAAACTAAAAGTCTAAAAGAGTCTACACAACTATTACATAACTAAAAACAGGAGTACGAAAGATAGAGGGAGAAGCATTGGGCTGCGAGTACCGAGCAGCTACCTAGTGAATCTCTAAAGTCTACTGGAAGCTCTCAACCCTCGCAAGCAGGACCTGATGCACCTGAATCTGCACACAGGGTGCAGGAAGTAAAGTGAGTACTCCAACTTAGTGAGTAATAATAATAAATGAGAACTGAGCAATAAGAAATTACGTAAAGGCACATCAACAAGCTATAAAGAAACAGTAAAAGCCAATAAAAGCAATGAAACAGTGAAAACATGTGAACTCACCTTAATTCATTTTAAGCTTCTTTAAAATACCTTTTAACAGTTAAGCAAATAAATGACAGACAGCTAGAAAAGATAAACACATAAAGAACCGCCCCTCGGGCACAATACCAACAGAATCAGCCCCTCGGGCAACACATGGAACAATACCATCCCCTCGGACTATATCTCACATCACAATGGGTACCCGCGCTCACTGGGGTGTGCAGACTCCTAGAGGGGCCCCTTATGGCCCAAGCACAATATCCAACCATCTCGTGGTGCTCTCGGCCTCATATCAACAAGCCACCTCGTGGCGTACAATCTCAGGCTCTCGACCTCAAAATCATAGATTAGTGTATCCTCACAGCACAGGCCTTCGGCCTTACTCTGTCAAAATCTCATAAACCACTGGGGCAACTGTAAAACATGATGCCCAGCTCAATTATCATTTATAATATCATTTAATGTATTAAAACAAGGTAAACATGGCTGAGTTATGAAAACAGTAGAATAAAGCATGACTGAGTATAAGTATAAAGTCAAAACAGTGAAGAAATATCAGTAAAAGTCCTCTAAGTGTCCAAATAGTTGGAACAAGGCCCAAATATGGCATTCAGCCCAAAATATGATGATAGCAAATAGTTTTCAATCAAATACGCGGTAAAATTTTCATACGGGATGGACTAAGTCACAATACCCAATAGCGCACGACCCCGCGCTGGTCATCTAGCATGTACCTCACCTCAATATAGCACAACGATGTGCAATTCAGGGTTTCATACCCTCAGGACAACATTTACAATCATTACTCACCTCTACCCGGTCCAAATCTCTAGCTCGTGATGCCTTTGTCCCTCGAATCAGCCTCCTGATGCTCCAAATCTAACCAAAATCAGTGCAAAACCATCAAAATATACTAAGGGAACAAAGCCCACTCGAAAGAAATTAAATTACAACACAAATCCCGAAAATGGCCGAACCCGACCACTGGGCCCACATCTCAGATTCCAATAAAAATTACATCAATAGACTCCTTATGACTCCCCGAGTTCATTCATACCAAAAGCATCAAAATCCAACCACAAACCCCTCAAATCCCAAATTATAGGTCTCCAATTATAAGCCTTAGTTCTTCAATATTAGGCTTAAATTCCTTGTTTAATTAGGTAGAATTCACATAAGAATCGAGTATTAAGTCCATAAATCTTACCTCCAAGCGTTTCCCCTTGAATCCCTCTTCAATCCTCTTCAAAAAGCTCCAAAATCGCTCAAAAATGGTGGAAGTTATCCCAAAAATTGCGGACCAAATGACTATTTAAACATTCTGCCCAGGCATCCATTCCTTCTTCGCGAATGCGGTCAAAGCCTCGCGTTCGCGAAGCACAAACTCAGGTTGACCAAATTTTCCTCTTACGCGAACGCAACCAGTCCCTCGTGAATGCGATGACCCCTCAACTCCACCTTCGCTAACGCGATGCCTAATGACCCATCTCTTCGCGAACGGGGGACCTCCTTCGTGAACGCGAAGGTCAAAACTCCAACCTCACCTGCTAACCCTTTGCGAACGCGAGGGCCTACTCGCGAACGTGAAGGTCATTTTTTTTTTTGCAACACCAAACAACTGTTTTCTGCAATTTTCCAAAACATGAAATGTCCCGATTGACCACCCGAAACTCACACGAGGCCCCCGGGACCTCAACCAAACATGCCAACATATCCCATAACATCATTCAAACTTGTTCCAATCTTCAGAACGCTCAAAACAACATCAAAACACCTAATTCGCATCGGATTCAAGCCTAAGGATTCCAAAATCTTCTAAATTATGCTTTTGATCAAAATGTCTACCAAACCTTGTCCGAATGACCAGAAAAATTGCACACGCATGCAAATGACACCACGGAACTACTGCAACTCCCAGAATTTCATTCCGACCCCTATATCAGAATCTCACCTATCAACCGGAAAACACCAAAATTCCAATTTTGCCAATTCAACCCTTTATCTACTCCGGACCTCCAAAATACATTCCGATCACGCTCCTAAGTCGCAAATCACCTCCCGAATATGAACCATCAAAACTCACATCCAAGCCCTCTAACACATAAGTCAACATCTGGTTGACCTTTTCAACTTAAGCTTCCTCAAAAGAGACTAAGTGTCTCAAACCTTACCAAAACCTCTCTGAACCCTAGCCAACCAACCCGATCACACCTAGAACCGATAAATCAAGCAATAAGAAGCAAAAATGGGGGAAACAGAGCAGTAACTCATGAGACGACTAGATGGGTCGTCACATCCTCCCCCTCCTAAATCAGAATCTCACCTATCAACCGGAAAATGCCAAAATTCCAATTTTGCCAATTCAAGCCTTTATCTACTCCGGACCTCCAAAATACATTCCGATCACGCTCCTAAGTCACAAATCACCTCCTAAATCCGAACCATCAAAACTTACATCCGAGCCCTCTAACACATAAGTCAACATCCGGTTGACTTTTTCAACTTAAGCTTCCTCAAAAGAGACTAAGTGTCTTAAACCTTACCAAAACCTCTCTGAACCCGAGCCAACCAACCCGATCACACCTAGAACCGATAAATCAAGCAATAAGAAGCAAAAATGGGGGAAACAGAGCAGTAACTCATGAGACGACTGGCCGGGTCGTCACATCCTCCCCCTCCTAAATAAACGTTCGTCCTCGAACGAGTCAAGAAACATACCTGAAGCCTCAAACAGGTGAGGATATCTGCTCCTCATCTCCCGCTCGGTCTCCCAGGTAGTCTCATTCACAGCCCGACCTCTCCACTGCACTTTCACTGAAGTTATATCCTTTGATTTAAACTTTCAAACCTGATGCCCCAAAATAGCTACTGGCTCCATATCATAAGTCAAATCACCATCCAACTGAACCGTGCTAAAATCCAGAACATGAGACGGATCCCCAATATACTTCTGGAGCATGGAAACATGAAATACGGGATGCACACTCGACAAGCTGGGTGGTAAAGCAAGCTTATAAGCCACTTCCCAATCCTCTGAAGCACCTCAAAAGGCCCAATAAACCGAGGACTCAATTTACCCTTCTTCCCAAATCTCATAACACCCTTCATGGATGAAACCTTCAACAAAACCTTCTCACCAACCATGTAGGACACATCCTGAACCTTCCTCTCAGCATAACTCTTTTGCCTCGACTGTGTTATACGAAGTCTCTCCTGAATTACCTTCACCTTTTCTAAAGCATCCTGCACCAAGTCTGTCCCCAATAGCCTAGCCTCACCCGGCTCAAACCAACCAACTGGAGATCTACACCGCCTCTCATACAAAGCCTCATAGGGAGTCATCTGAATACTCGACTGGTAGCTGTTGTTATAAGTAAACTCTGCAAGCGGTAGAAACCGATCCCATGACCCTCCAAAATCAATGATACAAGCACGCAACATGTCGTTCAATATATGAATAATGCGTTCGAACTATCCGTCCGTTTGAGGGTGAAAGGTTGTGCTCAACTCAACCTAAGTACCCAACTCTCGCTGCACAGACCTCCAAAACTACGAATTAAATTGAGTTTCCCTATCTGAAATGATGGAAACTGGGACACCATGCAAATGAACAATCTCCCGGATATAGATCTCTGCCATTCGCTCTAAATGATAGGTAGTACACCCAGGAATGAAGTGTGCGGACTTGGTCAGCCGACCCAGAATCACCCAAATAGCATCAAACTTCTCAAAGTCCGTGGGAGTCCAACTACAAAGTCCATAGTGATCCTCTCCCACTTCCACTCTGGAATATCCATCCACTGAAGCAAGCAACCTGGTCTTTAATGCTCATATTTCACCGGCTGACAATTGAGACATCGAGCTACAAATCCCACAATGTCCTTCTTCATTCTTCTCCACCAATAATGCTGTCTCAGATCCTGATACATCTTCGCGGCACCTGGATG